GAGGAGAACGGCGCCGCTCCCGCCTGGCGGTGTTTAATCACTGGTTTTGACAACTTTGTTTTCCCGTCTCGCTTGCCAGGGGCTGGGAGGAGGACGCGGGAATAGGTTCTGTCACGCCGAAAGTGGTGCGAGCCCTCAGGTCGCCCCTCACGCCCCTTCCTCGGGCCGAGAACAGGTACGGGCTGCCCGCCTCAACGGTGGTGACGCGGGGCGGTGGAAGGCTCTGCCGAAGCGGAGGTTTGCCTTCGCTCCCCTTCGTTCTTCCTTTTGTTTTGGCAGCCTGATCAGGGAGAGCGTTAGAGACTTCCTAGGCTGAGAAAATGAAAAGTCACTTTCACCGTGATAAATTATTTGCTCACTGGCCCTCATAATGACGGCTGTCACTGCTGTTGGTTTTGAGCCCAGTAAAACGTTGTGTATAGCAGTTTTGTTAACATACGATACAAAAAGTGTTTGCTGAATGGCATGTGCTAGGTGCCTTTTCTTCTTCTTTCCGGGAAGGTGGAGATGGGTTATATTGTTAGGATTTTTCTAATGTGTATTTAGTTAAAAATACAGATTTCTCCTTTAAAATCCATAGGATGAAGGCCAGGCATGTGAAGCCTTTTTCATGTTGTGTAGCATCTTACTTCGTGGGAGCTCTTTCGCGTGGTCCTGTCTTGATCTTTTAGATCAGTGTCGATCTTTGCCTCACAGCCTGTTGTTTTATACTGTGAAGTTTAATATGAAAATATTTGGTAACGTTAACTGTGAAACAAGTCATGCCTTACGTGCAGGCTTCAATGTTAACGACTGTGTTTTTGTGCTCTTGAGTCTTCACACACTGTAGGAAAAGTAATAGTGCAGAAGAGGGTGGTGTAATCCACACGAGATATTACTGTGTAAGAAGTAGTTTGCAAATATTTCTGTTATTCTCTTTTACTTTATATGGCCTCGTTAACATTGCAGTTCTAATGGTTATTATATATTAATATGTGTTCAAATATGTGGTATTGGAATATGGTCATACGATATGGTCAAAAGCACATGATAAAAATTACAAAAAATCTGGGAGTTGGGTCTTTAATGGGAACTGTGACGTCCTGGTTATATGAAGTCAATGGTGACAACACAGTTAACCTTACAGAGGCTGCCATCTCACCCAATCTAGCTGAATTTAAGGTTCAAAACAACATATGCTTTCCCTAAGTGAATGCAAGTGATGTTAGTCATAGTAACTGTTGCAGTTATGTACGTTAGTACATTGCATAGTACCCTAACAGTAGGTTTCTTACGCATTTCCAATGAGAGACCCTTGTGCTCCCAGCCTCAAAATTCGGAACTTTCACAAGTCGTAAGTTTATTACATCTTTCAAAATTAGTGTCAAACAAAAGGAACAGGAACATTTGCAGAATTCTGACTGCTGTTATGTGCTTCTAGCCTGCTTCTCTTTCCTGTGCTCATTTTTTCCCTTTCTGCCTTTTTCCCCTTCTTTTCCCAATTTATTGAGTTTGCAGTATGTACTCTATTCTACTTTGGTTTTTGTAGCTGTCACTCAATTCTCCTCTCCACTCTGTTTTGTGTTAGGTCTGTGGTTCCCTGCTGCCCTGGCTTCTCATACTCTTCCTTTTCCCTGCTAGTTTCTGAGCTGCAGTCTCCTTCTACTTAGCTCTGTGTGCTAAACCATGGAGTCAAATTGACTAGAAATGCTGGCAGAGAGGACTTCAGAGAGCAGAGTCTAGCTGCTTCCCATCTGCTGTTAGTACTCGCAACTGGAGCAAAGAAAGGGGAAGCAACACATACCAAAGAGGGCTGAAAATCCATTACATGTATGGGTCAGGTTTTAATCTCTGTTATAAGGCAAGTGAGCATGAGATTTTGCATACGTATTTTTCCTTAATCTGCTTGGAGGATTTGAGCATCAATTTGGAGCTAGTTTTGATCAACCTGAAATTCTATTTCATTGTGACTAAGTGACTTCAAAAGTGTGACAAGTAAATTATTCATCAAAGAAAGTTTCATGTCACTAGCTCCTATAACTGTAGTGCCTTTGGAAGGATGGCTTGCTGGCTGAATCCAAGAGATGGTGTTCTTTCTCACCTGAGTGACTGCGCTCACTTGGTAAGCTGGCCTGACAGGGGTTTGTGGTGCATGTTTGGCACATGGGGAAGGAGAGAGAGCTGCTGGACTGACCAGGAGCTGTTACTTAATCCTGAGAGCAGCTGGACTGGGCAGGGAGCCATGCCGGAGGGGTTTGATCCAGGCAGCAGCTGGACTGGGTCTGGCTGAGGGCCATGCTGGAGAGATTTGATCCAAAGAGCATCTGGACTCATGCAGAAGATTCAGAGCAATCCCTCAGTGATGGAGATGGATGGTCTGGTCAATAGGAATTAGATTCCATTTTGCGGTGGGGTTTTGCTGTGGTATCCATGAGTATAGCAAAAGGACAGAAGAGTCCCTTCTTGAAATAGGTTGTACAGGGGTTAGTGAACCTTTTAATCAGATCAATTAGTATGTTGATGAATAAAACAAGGGACAATCTATTGGTGCAGACTTCCCAAAGTATGGTTCTCCTAAAGTACCCTGGTGGTTTGAATAACATTGCCGTGTTGCTGGCAGCAATGTCCTTTCCTGCGTAAGAGGATGTGCATGGATGTTAGGTTAGACTCTGATTTCTTAATCAGTTTGTTGCATTTTTGTGGAAAGCTAAGATTGTCTCACCAATTTTGGTGGGGGGATCCTGGAAAGGAAAAAGAAAAAACCCTGGTCATTATCCTTCTTGAACTCTTAAGTAATCTAGACAATCTTCAGAATCGCAAGCTAATCTTTCTTCTTATCATGATTTCCTTTGCTGCTGGAGGCATACTTGTAACCAGACATCTGAAGAATCTCTAAGGGCCTATTATTCTGTCGCCTTGCAATATTGAAAGCTAATCTCTTTCTTTACTTTGAGTAATTCTTTTAAAAGGATGAAACTGAAGGATGAAAGGATGGAAAGCAGGGGATTGGTTCAGACTGTCATAGATATTTAGGCAGCTATTATGCACAGCAATGTTTAATTAGATGGTGACCAGGCACCTCAAATTCTCTGAAGATCTGTGCCTTAGTAAATAACCTTGAAGATGTGGTTTGTCTCCTACAGGACGTTTCTTACCACTTTTTCTTCTTAAGTGTTAGGTAACTCGAACAATGTGTCTGCCTCTACAGTGTGACTTCCAATTTTTGTCTTGGGTTTATTTCATAGACTTACTGTGCCTGTTAGTAGGGTTTCTTGCTAAAAAAAAAGAGGCCATTGTTAGTAAGATTTCTCTAGTAGTCCCACATTTATTCATGGAACCAGTATCATTTACAGAGGAATACTGTGGTTCTCTGGCAAATCCTCATATCTGTGCCTCATACCGTCCTCTCAGTTTTTAAGCTGTAACTGCAAGTAGTCTGTCTTGCACTTGTCCCAACTTTAGACGCTTGGTTCTCCCTCCCTCCCCAGCTGTGTTTGTGCCGGCATATTTGTTTGTGTAGTCACATGATAATAGCAAAATAGAGGGCTCAGTACTGCTGGTGCTTACCAGGGGGAGGTGACAAGAACAAGAAGCTAGGTAGTCTTGTCTTGTTATGAGGCCCAGGGTGTGCTGTGTTAAGCTTGGGCAGAAATTGTAGCTCCTTTTGTACTGCCCAGGAACATACAGCAGATAAAGAATGCCAGCTCCTACAAGGGAAGTGAAAATAGTTAAGCACTATTTATATGTACTTTATATACAAGTAATAACAAGGCAGCAGTACCCTGAAGAACTGACCACCACTACTCTGTTGTTTTGTTTGTGTCCCCAGTTTTAAGGCATTCACTTACTATTTCCCTAACTTACTCTCTGTCTTTGCAGGTCCAAAGCAAGCACAGTGTAGAGCTGTTGGGGTAATTGAACAGTGGGAGGAAGTGATTTGAGGAGCTATGAGTAAACAAGTTAGTATTAATACAGTGTTTCATAGTGTTGGTTTCTTCAGTTCCTCTCTCAGCAGCAGATCGTTATGCAGGCCTAGGGAATAAACAACTGTACTTAATTAACTATGCTACAGAGACCTGTACTGTCTTCTGTCAAAATATTGCATTCTGGCAGACAGGAGGGGAAGAAGAGACAGGCTATTACCACGATTATGAACAGTAGCTAAGTGTGTTGCACATCTAATTTGCTACAGTTTAGATTAGTCAGCACTGGTGGCCACTTCACTAATTTTACTGCTCTCGGTATTTTTTCCCTTCATTCCCAAGTGATGTATGCAGACATATTTTAGAGGCGCATTTCTAACACATGCCTCACATCTTAGTTCTGTCTAAATGAATAGGTGTTCGGTTGGAAGCTGGTGCCAGGACACATTTATGTTCTGACAGTGGTGAAAGGTTTCCCAGCCCCTTTCTGTTTACTTGGTCCAAGTGAAACTGCTCTGTCATTCTGTCTGTTGCATACTATTGTAACATCATTTTAGTGTAAGTATTGTACTCTTTTCATTTTACCCACTGTGAGACGCTGAATGTTGCTTGTCATGTTACCTGTCATGCGGTTTAAGGATTTTTATAAATAAAAAGTAGCTGGTGTTATGTATAACCCTGGCGAATGCACCAGAAGGTCTTCCAAATAATTTCAAAATGCAGCTTGTCTTAAAGACCTGATTTAGCATTCCTTGGATAAGCAAAACCTCCATGAGAACTTGAACAAGGATAGTAGGATCAGTCTCTTTCACAGTTACTGTAATTAATGTTACAAGACAAATTCTTACTACTATGGTTTGATAAAGCCATTTTTGTAGTCCATTTCACCAAGCATTTATATTGTGTATTGCCTTATTAATGAAGGTGTTGTGAACCTTAAAAATTCAGGTATAAATGTCACTATATTCTTATAATCTGATTAATTTGAAAAAGTGTCAAAGATAGTACTTAAAAGCACCCTTCCTAGGGAATTGATTAGGGGTTTTTAATAGTGTTCAGCTAATAGCCTATGAGATTCAAATATGCATTAGTCTCTTCAGGGGAGAGATTAAGACAGAAGGTGTTCACAATCTGGATGGTGTTGTTCAATGCCACTCTGGTAGAAGGATATAAATGTGCGGTTTTGCATGCAGAAGTTACCCTTTTTAGCTGGAGATGCTCAACTGGAACAGGGTTCAGAGGTCCTGTGCTGCTTCAGGCAGATGAGAGCAGG